CTCTATTCAAACACTGGAGGGAACTCTAGCGCTAGTGTCTATGGAAACTGTAACGCATGACGCTCCAGGGAGCATAGGAATTATGGGCAGAACACGGATTTGCCTTTACTATAAGTTCCTTTTGGCTTCGCAGAGCTTGAAGCTGTCTTGCCATGAAACAACAAGCAGCAATAATTTCTAAGATAAGCTTCGCCACATCCACCTTATAGGCTTACCATTTGAAATCGTCTCACGAAGTTTGTAACCATTCGTTCTTTCATTCGAAACAAAACCAAAACACACTTGTGAGCACACTACTCTCAGAAGGGAGCAGTGTAATGAGACGTGCCTCTTCAAAGAGATTCATACACGCGTCAAGTCAGGGCTTTCAAAATGAAAGAGCCGAATGACTATTTTTTCTTCTTTTAAGTCTGAATACACTTTATAAGCGACCCCAAACCATCCACCGCCGTCGGCGGCGTCCGCAGTCTTCTCTCTATCTTTAAAAGAAAGAGGACTTGGCGGGCCGCAGCGCGACGCTCTACCGAATAAGCCACGGACGCTACGCTGATATCGGTGTCAGTAACGAGCCTTATATCCCCTCTCCTTCGCTCGCTCCTCCGCTCTCCTCGCTCACTGCAGCTGCGCGCGCACCCCTCTCTCTCGCGCGCCCGCCTTCTCTCTCAGTCTCCCGTCGAGAGCGGGTCGTGAGGGGGAGTAAAGTTAAAATCCGTTGGCATTCGCCAGTGAGTTAACGTAAACTCCCCCGTGTGATCAAATTGCGATTCCCAGGAACCATTACACCATAAAGGCACCATAGTGTGATTAATAAATATAATAGTGCGAATTAATAAATACATCTCATAGCATCACCGCGTGTATTCGCACTTAACCATGTTCATCCTCGGGGAAATGCTTGGGAGTTTTTCTTAAAGTAAGCGCACCATTGGAAAGGATCATTTTTCGCCTAGACTTTCAGTGATTTCAAGTTTTTACTACGCTAACATTAGAGAAAATGATGATAGCCCTTGTGATTTCCCAGGCATGATTGTCAGTTGAAACCATTTAGCTGTGCCGAATGAAAAAACAACCTCGCTGAGAAAAAAGAAATTCTCTTTCATTCATTATAATGTGTTTAGACATTTTTTAATGCACTCATGAGAACAGTGTATTACCGCGCTTCATGCAGCTTTACGCGTGCTCATTCAGGGCCCCTTTTTATCAAAGTCCTTCTTTTCAACCTTCTGAGCGTCCTTTTTACAGCGTAATAGCAGCCACCTGATTCCACAACGTCGATTTTCTTTCGCGTAAGGAAAACTGGTGTCACAATGTGAACGTTACTTGAGGCAAGACGCAACGGGTGCGCTTTCCGCCACAAGTGAGGCATGCAAACACGCCCGTTTGTTTTCTTTGTTGACTCAAGTCATTTACGACGGATCTTCGCTTCCGGGTGACGGCGCCTGAACGATGTGCCCCTGTCACCACATGGCTCACGCTATCTGCAAGGAACGCTTCCTGTAATAGACGTGGAGTGGGTCGTCAGTAGAGTGGCTAGTAGAGGTTCTTGCATGGCCATGCGACGGCCGAACTCGCTGCAGCCTTTTCCAACTTGGCGAGTTGTCCCACTGCCCGCATATCTAACTGCGTTCCTTAGACACGCACTTCCGTACATTAGCACAGTGATAGGCTAGGTAATCCAGACCCGCTCTCTATTATAGTCCAGCACTACCGCTTGAGTGGTTTCAATCGCTGCATCTCTTGGTGAGATAGTACACTTTTAAATTTTCTGAAGGGCAAAGTGCATCCAGCTAATGGAGTATTTCTTTAAATATGATTTTGCTACAAGTTAAGGCTATGTCCGACGTTCCATTACAGTTTAGCTGTAACTTAGTGAGTTTGCATCAAGCAAAAATACCAGAATTCTCTTTTAATAGATAAACACATAAACAAATAAACAGTTATTCAATCATGTGAGCTACAAGTCTACCAGTCTGCGAGTGCTGTTGTGGGAAAGAGACATCGTCCAAATAAATCAGTTGTTAGTCTGTGCTAGTCCGGTCCACAGCTTTCTTGTGTCCTGTATGTATATGCGTACCTTGTGTTTTCCGGTTCCTACCAACTAGCCGAGCGATTACATAAAATAAGAGAATTCAAGCCCATCACAACAGTATGTCATCGCAGTCTTCAGATATATTAAGTGGCTTGTAGTGTTTATTGCGGCGTAATGAAATTCAACCAAGCTCGATGGCGAAACATTTGCTTCCGTGATGTAGCCGTATCTTCTCGCATGCGTTGACGTTGAAGCATCGTAAATAGTTAAATATAAAGAACAACTTCATTTACCCGAGTTTGATATGGTCGGGTTTCACTGAACCGTATGAATGAGGCCGCGATAAAGACTAGGCGCCCTACATTGCACCCTGGGCTGACTCCCCGACATTCGAGACACGGCCGGGAAATGATATGGCTCGACGCCAGCGCGGATCCTAGGCACACGTTGAGCGCTGACACGCAACCGCAGCAGCATTTCCCGGCGTTATTGGGACGGAGGCTGGTTTGCTTCATCGCCGGCAAGTGGCCACACTCCAACGAAGATATGTACTCTGAGCGGGCGCAACTCGTAGGTCCTTCTATTGAGGCACCTTGACATCGAGCAGTTTCAGAGCGGTCAATATAGCTCGTATGCTCAACCTTTCAAATCTTGCTTAAGCTGTGGTTTGTAGGCCATTGTTGAAAGGGCGGAAATTATGCACGCAAAGACGCAACAGGATAGCAGAATTAAATACCGCGTGAAGTACTGAGGACACACACACGTCTTCCGCCAGTCGACTCCTGGGGCCTACCATTCGTATGGGTACAGCGCACCACAAGGACACAATGGAGAGACACACACTTACGTGGGTCGTGTCTCCTGGGGCTTTAAGAGAGAGATCGGAGGTGGCGCAAAGTCCGCCCCATACAATGACACATAGGTCGGCGAAATCACTCTTGAGTCGACTCACTCGGACTCAGATCCAGCCGCGAGGGTGAGTCTGCAGGGTGAGTGCGGGTGACTGATATTTTCGTGAGTCGGAGTCCGAGTGAGTGCAAAGTGCTAAATATATTTTTTGAGTGAGTGTAAGCGAGTTACACTTTCTTTTGTCGACATAAGGTACTATCCGGTCATCTCCAGAATTACATCAGCCTTACCTGAATTCACCTTTATACTCACGTCCTCACAGGTATTCAAAGCAGTGTCGTTCATACACTATTTCTATACTTATTAAGCAGAGGCGTGAAATATACGTAAACGTGTGCCGTAATATCCTCCCACCAACAACCATTCTAGGTATAATAAGGAACTGAGACAGCCGGAACTGTTATTTGAGACCAGATAGGAGCGTAGGCCTAGCCATCGAAAGCAGCGACAACGTCTGGGCCGAGCGCCTCATGCTTAGCGCTGACGATGTGTTTGCCGAGCTTTGCAGGACCTACTACTTCTTCATTACACAGGGAATTTTCGATTGTTATTTCTTATGTTGTCATATCTTCCAAGAAAGATTACCTCACTGGTGTGAAAGCACTCGGAACTTCTTTTACAGCGACAGCTGTTATGAATGGGATCAAAACTTGGATCACGCGCGGCACCACAGTTGTCCGCCGCCACCACCGCCACTGGTGTACGTAACCACTATCGCAGAAATAAGAAAATAAACCCTAAGGACACAATGGGGCTCGAGCCCAGGTCCGCTGCATGCCAGCCCAGTCTTCTACCATTGAGCCGCACCGGTGATTGGAACTTGTTGGCAAACTTGCCTTAGGCAGGTCTGATGTCGAGAAAGCAATCACGTTTATACGACTTATAAAACGTTTTAAAACAGCGAAAAAACAACCAGTCGTCGCACAATGCAAATAGCGTAACGTGTGGGTAGTCCAGTGCTCGAACCCATTACAAAAGCTTGTTTTTGTTCACCTATTAACTGTGGCGCATGCATGCCCACTTCAGGCATAATTCCTCATCGTCGTCAGCCACTGCATGAACAATTGGCACACAATTCCTTGCAATTGTTTAGCGGATACCACGCTTCTCGGAAGATTGACGAAAAACAGCATAGCGAATGCCAGCCTACTACAAAAAAAAAAAAAAACGTTATTGCGTTAATGCCCTGGTGGGTATCAAGCAAGTGCGCTTGCAATGGTTATCCAATGAGTGTTTGGAAAGGCCCTGAAAGGCTGCTCTTCAAGCTTTCGGTGTGACTGTGCTGTACCTTCCGCGGAGGCCTGGTTTTATTCATTTCTTTTTTTGAAGATACAATTTCAAACGGCCCCAAGAAAAGCACCGATTACGTGAGATATTGAGGTTAAAAGGGTGTTGACACCACGGTCGAAGAAGCTAATTCTGTGCTGACGGACTCATGAGTCGACTCACTTATACTCGGATCAAGTCGTGAGCCGGAGTTTGAGTGAGCCCGGCTGAGTGTAATGTTTTGGTGAGTATGAGTCCGAGTGAGTCCATATATTTCATGAGTGAGTCTGAGTGGGCTCCACAAGTTTTGCCGACCTATGCATTGCCATAAATAGAAAGTAAAGGCGCTGCGACGCACCTTCGCCCCCCCCCCCCCCCTCTCTGAAGGGAAAGCCTGCGCACGCCTATCATTGTTGCGAGCATTGAATCATTAATGCAGACTGACTCATGACGCATTCATGACCTATTATCGCATGAAACGCTTTCTGAGCGTCGCTGGCGCGTACACATACGATGGTACTGTGGACTATTTGTTTAGTATGTCCGCATGTATGAATCCTGTTTGCTTCCGCAGCACGAGTAATCTATTCTCTGTGATTTCCCGTATAAAGAGCAACCATTTAATGGATGCATGTTTCGGAAACTTGCAGCTGCAAGAGTTCCGAAATACATCCCAGTGCCTGCTGGAAGGAATGCAGATATCCGACATAGCAGCAGGCATCAGAGTGAGTACTGCAATTTGAAAGCTTTTTTTTTTGTTCGCTATATTTTCCAAAGTAATCGCAGCATCTTGGCCGTAGAAGTTGAATGCACGTGTTCTTCTGGACTTCCATCGTTGTAGAGAAGCGGTGATTTCTGCAGGTCCCCTTCCTCACCTCTACATGCATAAGTAAAGAGACGAAGTAGTGTATGACTTAAACAGTGGAACTGCATTCATGCGTCCTTGCAGTCGCCTCCGGGGTTACCAAATGATAGAAAGCAATGAAGAAGATAGCAAGTAACGAAAAACAGCAGTTGTTCGCTTAACTGTTTTTTCTAAAGAGTGATCTATTGAACGAAAAAGAAGTGTAAAACTACATGGCTCCTATAATTGTATACTTTTCGGCATCCAAGGTGAAATTGTGATATATCTATCCCTCAGTTTATATATACAAGTCATACACTTCTTTTGTACAACCAAGTTGAATCTGTACAACTTAGACCAGGACCCTTGAAAAGTGACTAAATGAGAACAGCGTAACAGAACATATGCAGATTGGGAGCCTTCCTAAAACGACTTGAAATTTTTTTCTTGCCTGGCAACGAAGCGGCGCACGCGGCGCCTCGAGACCTCACGAACTGAGCCGTTGAGAATACCGACACTGCCTCGGCTGAAGTTCAACGTGGGAAAGAATGGGAGTGGAAGGGAAGTACGAGCTATAGTAAGGTGTAAATGCCCGCAGCTTCACAACAAATTAAATAAATACCAGGCAGTTGCATGGTGACAACTGCAAACACACACTATACCTCAACCCAGTTCTCTTCCATATCTGTTACCCAGATATATTTGACAAACAAATGCAAGGTTTGTTATGCAAGGGCAACACTATAGCGCATATACCATGAGAGGCCTTGAGTTTACATGCCAAAACACAAGGAAACCACAAGAAGGTAGTCTCGAAATGCAGGACGCTCTGGCAGGAGGCTCTGCTTAGCTCTGATCAGCTGCGCATTAGAAGAGGGCCGTTCAGTGAGCCGCGGAACCTGCTCGAGCCCAAGGGCTCACGGCCGAAGCCTATGTTGAGGCTCGTCCGAAGTTAACTTTGCTGGACGATTATTAATAAAGTTATATCTTCTTCCACTCGCAGGAATGCAAAGGAAGCTCCAGGACATTCTGACGAGCCACTCACTGCTCGATGGTGTTTGTTGCGTGCACCACTGTGGCGTAACATTTGGTCTGCTTGTTGATATTTTTTTGCGAAATAAAACTTATGTTTCATAACAGCAAGGCTTGGCACAGCTTGTACCCTTCCGTGGGGCACCGAACTAGTTCTTGGAGCATTTGTGAAGTGAAATGCGTGCCTGCTCTGCTATGACATAAACTTCTGTCGAGGGTGCGCAAAAAAAAAAAAGCGCGCAATGAGGAATAAATTGCCACAAGCCATTTGCTCTCCCGGTGTTGCTTCTCTTGCGAACGTTTGGTGCATTGCTCTCCCCTTGCTCTTTCGGCAGTACATAACTATGTGACCAAAAACAAGTGGCAGCTCTTCTGTATTTTACGGTGCGTCAACGCGCTGTAAATGTATTTTGTTTTGTAAGCTGCAAATGGTTTACTTTAATTACAATTGCTTGCCCAGCATACGAAGTAAGTGAAGCTGTACGTCATGGTTGGGGCTTTGGTATATATCCTAAACAAGGCAGATACCACTACCAATGTGAAACACTTTCAGCATGTGAAAACGTGTTATTTGCGGCAGCCTCACGAAAACTGAATGAATGTATACGGTGCGAGAAGTTGTGATACTGCCTGCTCTGCAGCTTTGCAACAAGGGCTCATTTGAGAAAAGTGCACACAAAAAATACCTCTGTATCTTCTGGAGTACCTACACAGCATGGGGCTGATCGGGAAGTTCATGAATTCCGGAGCACTTGGGCATATAGCAGGTAACTTGCTAAGGATGCCTTATACCCATGGTACACAGGCAATGCAAGCGCGGTTACGACCAACCACGGTTGACCGCGTTGAACCGCGGTTAGCGCCAACCCTGGTTCGACGATGTTACACAGCGCGAAAGCATCCCCGGTTGAGGTGGCTAACGCCATCTGGCGTAGAACAATCAACAGAGTCACTTCCTTGCGTATATATGCTCCGAATACATTCAGCAGCAACCAGGCAAAAATGGCATATGTGTCCCCTAATATTATCATGTGATCTCACATGCAAGAGGTCCGTGGTTCAAATCCTGGTGCCGCGCAGTTCCCAACCAGATTAAAAAAAAATCCGCGTGTTGATGGAACTGCATTAAGAGGCCTGGGGTGCGGCCTCATCGGTAACCACTGCCGGGAACGCACTCCCTCACCAGAGAAGGATTGGCCACCCTGGTGCAGTATCTGGCCACTACCTCCCACATGCAAATAACTCACGGCCCTCAGTCCCAGCAGCTGAGAAGCAACTGACCACGTCTGCGGTCAGATCTGCAACGCAGCAGAGCATGCTAAGAATCTCTGGATCCGGACAGGCCACCATTGAAACCTGAACTTGGCAACGTTTATTGCTAGAACCTTATCTAGTGAGGGAAGTCTAGCTGTACTATTTGAGGAGCTAGAGGGTGTTAAATGGAATATAATAGGGCTATGTGAGGTTAGGAGGACAGATGAGGCCTATACGGTGCTACAGAATGGGCACGCCCTTTGCTATTGGGGCTTGGCAGACAGAAGAGAACTAGGAGTAGGGTTCCTAATTCATAGAAACATAGCTGGAAACATAGAGGAATACTATAGCATTAATGAAAGGGTGGTAGGTATCGTAATTAAACTGAACAAAAGATACAAGATGAAGGTAGTACAGGCTTACGCGCCTACATCCAGCCATGATGACATTTCAGTTGAAAGCTTCTATGAAGACGTAGAATCGGCAATGAGTAAGGTAAAAACACAGTATACTATAGTGATGGGCGACTTTAATGCAAAGGTAGGGAAGAAGCAGGCTGGAGACCAGGCAGTAGGAGATTATGGCATCGGTACTAGAAACGCCAGAGGAGACCTACTTGTAGAATTCGCACAACGCGATAATTTACGGATTTTAAATACCTTCTACCGAAAACGAGAAAACCGCAAGTGGACATGGAGGAGCCCTAATGGCGAAGATAAGAACGAAATAGACTTTATAATGAGTGCAAACCCAGGAATCGTGCAGGATGTTGAAGTGGTTGGCAAGGTACGATGCAGTGACCATAGAATGGTACGGTCCCGAATTCGCCTAGACTTGAAGAAGGAACGACAGAAACTGATATGCAAGGAGCCAATCAACGAGCTAGCACTGAGAGGGAAAGTACAGGAATTCAGAGTGTCACTGCAGAACCGGTACTCGGCTCATAGTGAGGAAACCAACCTTAGCGTAGATACAATGAATGATAATCTGACGAGTATCATTACGGAGTGTGCAGTGGAAGTTGGAGGCAGGGTAGTTAGACAGGACACTGGCAAGCTTCTCAGGAAACGAAGAACCTAATTAAGAAGCGTCAAATCATGAAAGTGCCATGTACAACAAACAAAATAGAACTGGCAGAGCTTTCGAAGTTGATTAATAGGCGTAAGGTATGTGATGTAAGAAGGTATAACATGGAGAGAATTGAACACGCTCTGAAAAAGAGAGGAAGCGTCAAAGCAGTGAAGAGGAAACTTGGGATAGGCAAAAGTCGGATGTATGCACTAAGGGACAAAGAAGGCAAAATAACTACCATTATGGATAGGATAGTTAAAATAGCGGAGCAGTTTTACAGAGATCTGTACACTAGCCGAGACAACCACGACCTTAATACTATAAGAACTAGCAGTAACCCAGATGACACCCCACCATTAATGATAGATAGAAGAAGTCAGAAAAGCTTTGGAGAGCATGCAAAGAGGAACAGCTGCTGGTGAGAATCAGGTAACATCACATCTGCTGAAAGATGGAGGACAGATTGTGTTAGAAAAACTAGCCACCCTGTTTACGAGGTGTCTCCTGACGGGAAGAGTACCAGTCTTCGAAGAACGCTAACATCATCTTAATACATAAGAAAGGAGATGACAAGGACTTGAAGAATTACAGGCCGATCAGCTTGCTCTCTGTAGTATACAAGCTATTTACAAAGGTAATTGCTAACAGAGTAAAGAAAACATTAGAATTCAATCAACCAAACGAACAAGCAGGATTTCGAACAGGCTACTCAACAATTGACCACATTTATACTATCAACCAGGTAATAGAGAAATGCTCAGAGTATAACCAACCACTATACATAGCCTTCATAGATGACGAGAAGGCGTTTGGTTCAGTAGAAATATCAGCCATCATGCAGACACTGCGGGATCAGGGCGTAAATGAAGTATATATAAACATTCTGGAAGAAATCTACAGGGGATCAACTGCTATCATAGTGCTTCATAACGAAAGCAACAGAATACCAATCAAGAAGGGTGTAAGGCAGGGGGACACAATCTCCCCAATGTTATTTACCGCGTGCTTACAGGAGGTTTTCAGAAGCCTAGAATGGGAACAGTTAGGGGTAAGAGTTAATGGATAATACCTTAGTAACCTGCGCTTCGCCGATGACATTGCATTGCTGAGTAACTCAGGGGATGAATTGCAACTCATGATTACGGAGTTAGACAAGGAGAGCAGAGAGGTGGGTCTTAAAATAATCTGCAGAAAACAAAAGTAATGTAGAACAACCTCGGAAAGGAGCAGCGCTTCGAGATAGGTAATAGTGCACTTGAAGATGTAAAAGAGTATGTCTACTTATGGCAGGTAATGACCGCAGAGCCGGACCACGAGATTGAAGTAACTAGAAGAATAAGAATGGGGTGGAGCACATTCGGCAAGCACTGTCAAATTATGACAGGTAGATTGCCACTATCGCTCAAGCGGAAGGTATATAACAGCTGTATCTTGCCGGTACTTAGCTACGGAGCAGAAACCTGGAGACTTACAAAGAGGGTTCAGCTTAAATTGAAGACGACGCAGCGAGCAATGGAAAGAAAAATGGTAGGTGTAACCTTAAGAGACAAGAAGAGAGCAGAGTGGATTAGGGGACAGACGGGGGTTAAGGATATCATCGTTGAAATAAAGAAGAGGAAATGAACATGGGCCGGGCATGTTGCGCGTAGACAGGATAACCGCTGGTCATTAAGGGTAACTAACTGGATTCTCAGAGAAGGGAAGCGGGTTAGGGGGAGACAGAAGGTTAGGTGGGCAGATAAGATTAAGAAGTTTGCGGGTATAAATTGGTAGCAGCAAGCACAGGACCGGGTTAACTGGCGGAACATGGGAGATGCCATTGTCCTGCAGTGGACGTAATCAGGCTGATGATGATGATGATGATGATGATGATGATGATGAATATAATCATGTACTTACCATACTTGCCAAGATTGTGTATCTTCTTCCGGACTTGCTTTGGCGTAAATTGTTCTGCGTCAGACGGAAGTTCGGCGTTCGACCCCGGCTGTGATTGCCCCGTACCCATTTGCATTGCGTGATGTGCTCTGCATATCACTCAAATGATTTTCTCGCATCCTTATAAGGCTTCACGCATGCTTCGTGCTGTCCAACTCTTCCACTTTCCGCGCGTGCTGTCCGGCATGCACTCACCGGTGGTGGGCGGCGCCATTTATCTCGGTTATCTGCCTAACCAAGGTTGCAGAGCGCGGTTTCTTAAAACCATGGTTTGCGGCATAACCACGGTTTCGTGTGCAGCGTAACATCAGCGAACCGCGGTTAGCGTAACCGTGGTTTAGGCTGCCTGTGTAACAAGGGTATTAGACTACAACAAAGAAGGCTCCTATAAAGACCCTCAACGTCTGTGAGCTATATTCAGTCATTTTCAAACTAACTTTATCAAGATTGATGGCTCACCAGACCGGTGGAACATAAGTGCTCGCTAGGCCAGATGTCCCACTTCCACTCTGCATCTGCACAAAGTCAGCGCGTACACCAGCGTGGATGATCCGACTTAAAAAAAAAAAAGTGATACAAACACTTTTCACTATGACTACGTAGCAACAGGCTCTTACATACCGCGAGGCCATTATGTTTGTCTTGCATAACCTATAATGATAAAGAGCCCTCTTTTTAGGGGCGGAGCTCCTTAAAGCGGCACCCTTACGTCTCCCATAGTAGTGCGTAACACGTCTTACGCTTTGACCTGCAAGGTGGTGCCGGTGGGAGATTTCTTCTGTGCGTTGTTGAACAATGAAAAATTCGCAGCGTGCGCGTAACAAAAAGCCGAATTCTCCTGTCTCTTATTCCCCATTAGCAACCATTGGCATGCACATTGAGCACTATCTGAAAATAAATGGTTGCTACGTTATACTCGCTGGGCGTAACCTCCTCGGTTTTAAAAAAAAGATTAGCGAGCGTT